AGCTGGGGACTAAGCATGCAAGTAATATGAATCTATGGGGTCATTCTCATTCAAACTAACACACACAGGGCTTACTCTAATTACAAGAAAATAGAAGGCCTACCTAATTTTCATAATTTCTCTGCCAATCAAAGAGACTATTTGTGGAAACACATTCAAAGCATGGCATGTACCTTGTATGGTTTGCAGGAAGCTTCTGGCTCTTCCATTAATACATGTGGTATGCAGTAGGGAGACGGTAATTCCAGGAAAAGATCATTTCAGCAGCCCTGATTTTTCTTTCATCTGTCTGTCTGTCTATCTATCTACCTACCTACCTACCTACCTACCTATCTTGTTTTTCTCAAGGCACTGTTTCTCTGTGTAGCTTTGGAGCCTGTTCAGGCAGGAACTCACTCTGTAGACCAGGCTGGTCTTGAACTCATAGAGATCTGCCTGCCTCTGCCTCCCAAATGTTGGGATCAAAGCTGTGCACCACCACCACCCAGCTAGCAGTCCTGATTTTAAAGAATAACAGAAATTTGTGGGGTTCCCTTATTGCAGAAGGCATGATAACAGTTCTTGGGTTGCTGAAGAGAAATGGATGACTCATATTGGACATTAGATTTATTTATTTTACTGTTAACTGTGTGTGTGTGTGTGTGTGTGTGTGTGTGTGTGTGTGTGTGTGTGTGTTCATGACTGTCCATGTAGCTGGTTCAAAAAATGGCTCAGATAGAGAATTTTTTTTAATCTCCTTTTCTCTATTTTCCTCCCCTCCTCTGTCCACTCCTGTATCGCTCAAGTGCTCTACTATTGTGCTATTCTCCCCAACTTTCCCTTCCCCCATTCCACTTTCTGCTCTTAAAATCTCTCTCTTTTCCTGAATCAGTGTGTCCCTTAACAGCATGTGTCATCTTTAGCACATGCTGTTAAGCATTTGAATTCCATAAGTTTTTTGAAGTACACTACAGCTTCCTTTTCTCTTCTGCCCTTCATCTTCAGAGGCAGTGGTTTTCTGTTGTTGTTGTTTTTCATTTTTTTTTTCATTATTTTTTACATTCCAATACTCCCTCCTCTCCTCCCATTCCTCCCACTCTTCCCCCATCTCCCATCTGCAGAGGGAGTAAGGTCTCCCTTTCAGGAAGCCTCCTAAGTCCCATCATCTTGTAGAGGCAAGACCAAGTCACCTCTCCACTCCCCACACCCCTGTGTCTAGATCGAGCAAGGTATTTCTCCATATAAAATGGGCGCTACTAAGTCAGTTTGTGCATTAGTGTTAGATCTTGGACCCGCTGCCAGTGGCCTCATGTATTGTCTCAGTCTGTTTTCTCTTTTAACATGCTTTCTGGGGTTTATGTCCTCATTTCCAAGTAATGTATTTAATTAATATGTCTTGACTTTTTAGCAGTGGACATTACTTGATGAAGGGTTTTTGTTTTGTTTTTTTTAAACCTGTGACAAAAGTTGCTGTGAGTGGAACAAAGAATGCAGGAGGAGCTAGAAGGAAGAAATGTCAGCTGCCTGTCCATGATAGTGACTGGAGACTGTCTTATAAAGACAGTGATGCTTTTTGAGCAAGGGAGTGTTGTGATCGTAGTTGTTTGGACATGGATATTGGTCTGTTGGGAGAGCCCAGATGTGGAGACCAGATGGCAAGAAGGATGTTGCAGTAGTCTTTGGGGTGGGGGCGCTGAGTTTTGGGGTTTTGTTTTGTATAATTGAGTAGGATGCACCAGGCTATCGAATTTTAACTTATGTGTGTTTGCATCCTGTACCTGTCAAGATGTGTAGCATTTTCAGGCCCCCATTCCTTATAATTCCCCGATGCCAACTTGGTGTGGTGGTACAGACCTGTAACCCTAGCTTGCTCTTGGCATGTGGAGACAGGATCAGGAGGAGTTCAAGATAATCTTTGGCTACATGAGACCCTGTCTCAAAAGACAGAAACAACAAAGCATACTCCCTGATGCCAAACAAGAAGGTCTGGAACTAACTCTGGGTGGAAGCCAGAAAATAAGGTGGAGCTAAAGATGACTGCAAACTTGGGAGTCAGGGTGGACTGGGTGGTGGCGACACTAGTGACCAAAAGAGGTAATAGGGAGGGTCAGGATTTGGTGGAGGGGGGAGGGGGGAAAAGGGAAGGGAAGCAGAAGTTGGGTGGGAAGATCAGTTCAATATTAGCTTTGTTGAGTTTGAGATGCCATGGAATCCAAAGGATAGAGACTAATAGGAATGTAAATTTAGAGTTGTGGGGGAAGAAATTGAGATTGCAACATAGATTTGTTTGCTTCAGTATCCGAGGTCTGTTGAGAACTAACTAATAAGTAGATGGAAGTTCCCTAGAGGGTTTAGGACTCAGGTGTCTTCAGCCTGTGCCCCAGGATAGCTATGAATGGGACCCAACACAAAAATGATAAACTTCCTTAAAATGTGATTATTTTTGTTGTTTTGTTACAGCGTTTGTTTTTGAGACAGGATATCGCTATCACTGTGATTACTAGCTTGTTAACTAGGTGCTGGTGTCTTCATGCTTTACGTGGCACAAACTGACAGCCAGCTAGCTCCCAGCTTCTAGTTAGTCTGTTTCTCTTTTGTTTTTTCAAGACCTGGGTTTCCCTGTAGCCCTGGCTGTCCTGGAACTCCCTCTGTTGACCAGGCTGGCCTCGAACTTACAGAGTTCTGCCTCTGCCTCCCAAGTGCAAGGATCAAAGGTGTGTGCCATCATGCCTTTAATGGAGAATTCCTGGCAGAGCAAGAGAGGACCTTTTTGATTCCTTTGAGACTTCTCTAGTAATTCGTATAACAAGACTCCAGCACAATGCTTTTTTTTTTTTTTTTTTTTTTTTTTTTTTTTTTGGACAATAGCCTCCTAGTGATTTTGGTTGATTGACCTAATTTTCTTAGTTCTTTCTTCAGGGTTTTCTTCTGTAAAATAAGATTTCCACCAAAACTGACCAAAAAGTAAAATGTTTTTAATCATTGAAATCAAAGCACAGGGGGCTGGAGAGATGGCTCAGTAGTTAACAGCAGCTCACATCTGTCTATAACCTCAGTTCCAGGGCTTCTGACACTCACAGAGACATATGTGCAAGCAAAACATCAATGACCATAAAAACAAAAAACCAAGTGCTGCCAGACATAGTGGCACATATCTGTAATCCCAAGCACCCAGAAGGCTGAGGCAGATTTATACATTTGAGGCTATCCTGGGTGACATGATGAAACTCTATCTCCATAAATAAACAACAAACATATCTTAAATGTAAAATAAGGGATGATGGTTAGAAGTTTGGGAACATATAATTAGATAAAATAGACAGGACCAATGCATGATGGTTGCTGCTTGGTTGGTTTTTTTTGTTGTTGTTGTTTTTGTTTGTTTGTTTTCCGAGACAGGGTTTCTCTGTGCATGTAACAGCCATGGCTGGCCTGGAACTCACAGAGATCTGCCTGCCTCTGCCTCCCGAGTGCTGGGATTAAAAGACTTGCACCACCAACGCCCAGCTGCTGCTTGTTCTTAACAGTTGTCCTTTCTAAATAAAATTTTACCTTCTTTGTTATTATTTAGTTATTCTCCCCCTATTCCCCAGACAGAGTTTCTCTGTGTAGCCTCGGCTGTCCTGGAACTTGGAAATGTAGACCAGGCTGGCCTTTAACTTTCAGGGCTCTGCCTGTCTCTGCCTCCTGAATTCTGGGATTAAAGGTGTGCGCCACTGCCAGGCTTTATTCTTTAATTGTTTTTATTTTTTATTTAGTGTGTGTACATGTATTTAGGGGTCTTCTCAGGGAAGCCTTATCCATTCATGCAGGGCACTTCCATTGAAACCTTAAAATTTTTTTTAAAAGATTGTTTTACACAGTACTTGGTTTCTGTCAGGCTTTTTCATAATGTTTAGTTTTGATTGATGTTCCTACCCTTTTCTTTGCCTCATCCTCCACTCATACCCCTTTAAGGAACTTTCCCCACCTGGCTATATTTACATGTATTATTGTGGGCACCTGTGTGCTACATACAGCTCATATATGGGAGTCAGAGGACAATTTTGGGTATTCATCATATAGATTCTTGTCGTCATCGTTAGCAGCAAAAGCCTTTAGCTGCTGAGCTCCCTTGCCAGCCCTCCTTGTATAAAAGCTTATGTGTGAATTACCACTGAAGAAGTTTATGGTCACCTGCTGCAGCCTAACGCCAATAGTCATTTGAAATACTATGGTTGGTGGCTTTAAGAATGACTGGTACAAACCAGGTTGTGGTGGTGCAATGCATGCACTCAGGAGACAGAAGCAGGCGAATCTCTGTGAGTTCCAGTCCAGCCTGGTCTACAAAACAAGTTCCAGGACAGCCAGAGTTGTTACACAGAGAAACTGTCTCAAAAAACAAAAAAATCAAACCAAAACAACAAAAATGCTTTGACCAGGCCATGGTGTACACACCTTTAATCACTCAGGCGCCTAGACAGATGGATCTCTGTGAGTTCAAGGCCAGCTTGGTCTACAGAGTGAGTTCCAGGACAGCTGGGGCTATCCAGAAACCCTGTCTTGAAAAGTTTTCCCTGCCTCTCCCCCAAAAAGAATGGCCAGTAGTAAAAAATTTACACATATTTTGTATTATAAAACTGAATTTACTTTTGGACGTGTGATTACTTTGCTAATAAGCTAAGAGTATTTTTTAGACTAGACTCTCTCTTTATATGTTATTTTCTTTATTAGAACAAAGGAAATCATGCTCCCTGAAATAATACTGTGTTTAGAATCTGTTTCATCAGAAAATCAAATTATGATAAAAATCAGTGTTAGACATTGTTGATTCTGTCCTTTTCACTACCTCCCCTTTTCATTGTTCATAAGTGATTTTTAAATCATTTCTCTTGAAAATAAGCATAGCCTTAGTGTTTCATCAGCCTGTTGCTTAATTCTCAATGTGAATTGTACTACAATTCTCTCAGGACTTAAGATTTTTAAGTAGAAAATGTGTTTCTTGCTGTGATTTCAACAGCCATTTTTAATTGCTCTCTTAGATTCATCATGTTACAGAAAATGGAGGACTATATAAAAGACCGTTTAATGAAGTTTTTGAAGAAACACCCATGTTGGTTGCTGTGCTCACATATGTGGGGTATGGCGTACTCACCCTCTTTGGATATCTTCGAGATTTCTTGAGGCACTGGAGAATTGAAAAGTGTCACCATGCAACAGAAAGAGAAGAACAAAAGGTAACTGTCAGGGAGTCTTTGGTTCTGTGAAATAGGATCTGTTGGTGGAAATGCTGTCATCTTCCCACAGTCTTTTTCCCTCCCAAGTGGAAATTTGGGCACATGGAGTTAAAACTTTGAGACAGGAGGATTGCTGTACTTTGAGACCAGCCTGGGATACAGAGTAAGACTCTGTCTCATAACAAAGCAGAAACCAAACGCTGTAAAAGTTTGTAAAAATACTCTAAGGAAAGCTGAAGACAATGTTGAAGGCATGAAAGAGCAAAACATTTGTGGTGCTGGAGTTTGCTTGTCCCGCCAGGTCCGGCAGCTGCCTTGCCCCAGATAAGCACACAGAGATGCTATATTAATTATAAAACTATTGGCCTGTGGCTCAGGCTTCTTATTGGCTAGCTCTGTCTTACTTATTAATCTGAGTATTTCCACATGGTATTATCTTACCAGAGAAGGGTCCTGACCTGTTACTCCTTCCTCCCCTACATGGCGTCTCTTCAAGGTCTCTCTCTGCCTACCTTTCCCAGAATTCTCCTCGTTTCCTAGTCCTACCTATTGGTCAAACAGTGTTTTATTCATCAACCAGTAAGAGAAATATATATATATATATATATATATATATATATACACATATATATACACATATATATACATATATATATACATACATACATACATCCCCCATCATATTTGGGGCTGAGATGCTCAGTGGCTAAGAGCACTTGTTCTGGCACAGGACTAGAGTTTAGTTCCCAGCATCCACAGGGGCTCACAACTGCACCTTCTGATCCACATATAAACATGCAGGCAAAATTCTCACATGTGGATAAAATAAACATCTGAGACAAAAACAGAACAAAATAGTTAACTTTTTTTTTTTTTCTTTTTGAGACAGGGTTTCTTTATAGCCTGGTTGTCCTGGAACTCACTCTTTAGACCAGGCTGGCTTCTAGAGAACCACCTACCTGCCTTATCCTGAGTGCTGGGATTAAAGGCATGAACTATCTCTGCCGTGCAACATTTAACTTTTTTAACTTAACCACACCATAAGAATGTAATGAAGCTGACAACAGTATCCTTATTTCATAGATTAGAAAGCTAAAAACCACAAGCAGTGTGTCTAAAAGTTGCCTAATGTTACAGCTTATATGATGCGGAAGGAATGGTCACCCTTCTTTCTGGATTCTGCACTGTGTTTATAATGTTCTACAGAGACTGGATTCTCTTGGACAGATTGAACATAGTTGTCCAGTTCACAGGTCAGTGCCTGTCCCCAAACAAACATGTCCTCAAACTGAATGTGGCTAGGGCAGTCTGTTTACAGCAGTAAAGGCTCCTGTTTTAGTAAAGACAGGGGTAGTGTCTGTCTCCAAAGAGGAAGATGAGATTCACTTTAGGCCATTCTTCTCAGAATATTCCTATATATACTTTACAGCTTTATGCAATGCACATGTTACCTTTTCCTAATAAACACTAGGCTGAAAAAAAATTAAATTATTCTTTGAGAATTTCATGCAATGTGTTGTGCCACCACCACCACCATTTCTTCCTTCTAGTCATTATCCCTGGGCCCCTCCCAACTTTGTCCTTTTTATTTTTTAAAAATATTCCACTACATTCAACTAGTGCTACCTGTGTGTGCCTGAGTGTGAGACATCCATTGGAGCATGAGAACCTACCAGTGACCCACTGAGCTATTTCCCTAGCGTCTGGTATTAGCTTTTTTATTATTTACGTTGTTCTTATCCTTGTGGGACATGGAGAGAATCTTATATGGGGTGGTAATATCATCTCTGAGCAAGGAGCCAGTAAAGAAAAGACAGAGTACACTTTGAAAAAGCAGCAAAGGTAGGCATGGTGGCTCATATCTATGCCAACTCTTGTAGGCTAAGGCAGGAGGATTGCTGTGAGTTCAGAGACATTCTTGGTTAAATTGTGAGTTTCAGGCCAAACTGGACTATTACTGAGTGAGACTCTGTCTCAGAAATAAACAAAATAAAAAAGTGAAAGGGTAGGCCTGGTGACTAATATGTTTAAGATATTAGTTTGGGAGGTTGAGGTTGAAGGATTGTTTGAGATCTGGAGTTCAACCTGGGCAACATAACAAGGGCCTGGATAAAGGCCCTTGTCAGTTATTAGTAAAACAGACAATTGGTACGTATATACATGGACTGAAAGGAAGTTGAGATCCCTTGAGGCTATAGATAATGGCTGAGATATTCTTTAAAGGACCCTGGTTTGAGTCCTAGCATCCACGTGGCAGTTCACAACCCTTTGCATCTGTAACTCCAATCCCAGGGACCCAAACCCACAGCCATCTTAACTTATTTATTCATTCATTTGTTCATTTACTTTTTTTATTTATTTTTGAGACTGGGTCCCTCTGCATAGCCTTGGATGTCTTGGAACTCTCTTTATAGACAAGCCTGGTGTTGGGATTAAAGGCATGCACTAACTAACATATGTGGCCCAGTGCCATTTTCTGACCTCCAAGGGCATCAGGCACACATGGGTACACATACATACATGCAGACAAAATGAACAAAATTTTTACAAAGAAGAGAAGTCAGATCCTTGAGGACTCAAAATCTGGTGTCCTTCTCTTTCATTTTGACCATTTTGTGCTTGCTTTCCAGCCTAGCCTCGCAAGTTGGTCTTTCTACACATTGCCCTGAAATGCCTACAAGGTAATTTCATTTCATTTTTCAGGCCAGGTATGGTGGTACAGACACTTAGTCCAGCACTTTGAGAGGCAGCACAACCATCTATAACTCCAGTTGTAGGGGGTCCAATACCATCTTCTGACCTTTCCTACAGGTAACTCATGGTCATGTGCATAGATACACATGCAGTCAAAACACCCATTCACATAAAATGTAAATAAATAATAAGTCTTAGAAAAACAACAACAATAAAAAAAAAAAACAAAAACCATTTTTAAAGAGTTTTGGTTTTTGGTCTTTAAAAAGATAACACAGTAAGCCCCTGTTCATAACTTAATCAAGTAGACAAAACCATTTTTCATGATTGGAAGCCTGAACACATATTTGATTCTCTTATTCTAGCAGAGTGCATCTACCCAGAGTGAATCCATAGAAGCACTGGCTTTGTTCACTCGCGGTTAGTTTTTTTGTTGTTTTTTTTTTTAAGCTACTTACTGTACTGTACAGTGATTTATTAGTGTAATCACTTTCTGTTGGACCAAATTGATAGTAGCTAAAGTTTGTAACTGCAGGAGGAATATTTGGGAGGACCTGAAATACCTATGAGTTCTGAATGACAAATGAGGAGGCAATGGGGAGACCTGGCAGTATTTGAGCAGGGGACCTATCATGGGCTTGTGCAGCTGGTACTGGGAGTGTGGGGACTGACAAGAAATTGCAGCGATGAATCTGGGTTACTTTATGAATTAATCCTTATCTTTGGATCTTATTTGGTATTCCTGGAGGGTAAGTTGATAGTTTAATTATTGGGTGCTACTTAATGTATATTTAATTTTATGTGAAAATAGGACATACAGATTTTATTCTTAAGTAGATTCTAATTTTGTTGAGGAAGCATACGTGGACAAATCTTACCTTTGCAAAATCAAAGAAGTAAACAGTGCTTGGATGGTATTAAAATGCAGAAAAGAAAGTTTCTGCTTACCATAATGTTAGTTAGGAAATAATTCGAAGAGGAGTTAGTAAGAGAAAATAGTGAGAGAGTCAGCAAAGAGGACATTTGTCTGTACAGTTTGTGAAAAGGATTGTTCTTAAGTAATCAAATTCAATAGGATTTTCTGTTGAAAACAGCAATTTTGATTCTCATAAGAATTCAGCATTTTGAGGGAAAGCATCACTTACTTGTTCTGAGGACAGGTGTCAAGCTCTGGAGAAAACAGCAGGCAGACGTACCAGGTAAACTGGAAAGTGAGGGAAAGTGTCTGCTGGGATCATGCAGTACAAATACCTTGTTGTCATTTTCTCTTGTGACAGAGGTAACTGCATCCATAGCAACAACCCAAGTGTCTTCCTCATTCCATTTCAAAAACAATAGCCAGGCATGGTGGTTGCATACCTTTAATCCCAACACAGAGTCAGGCAGATCTACCATCCTAGGCAGAGACAGGTGTATCTCTGAGTTCTAGGCTAATCTGGTCTATAGAGTGAGTTCCAGGACAGCCAGGGTTACTTGAAAAACTCTGTCTTAAAACCCTTCCCCCAAAGAGAGGGGTGGGCACGCAAGGACAAGTGTGCACTGTGCTATCTTCCTCGTAGGGAAATAAAGTGTGCTGCTTTGGGCACCCCTGAACTGCATGGTCTTGCTCATAAAGGAGTGTACAACAGTTGTTGGATGACATATTTTGACACATAATAACAACTAAAAAAAAAAAAAAAAAAAAAAAAAAAAAGAGGCCGTGACTTTGAAAGAGAACATAGGAGGGTTTGGAGGAAGGAAAGGGAAGGGGGAAATGAGGTAATTATAATCTCAAAAGTAAACAAATGAAAACTAAAAGGAGGAAAGTTTTGCAGGAAATACAGCACTTATCCATTTACTCCAGTGCCAGTGTTGAGTGTGTAGTCCTCTGTCTCCCATTAGTTACTGGGGCTATGTTTGGAGTAGCTGTGTCCCTGTCCCTTCCACCCAAAAAGTTTTGATGTTTGGATCTCTAGGCTTCAACTTTTTTGAGATTTTCTTTGCATAAACAATTTGGAGCTGTGTTTTACTGTTAACTGTGAATGTAAAAGTATAAATAACTGGTTCCTATGTGATTATCTGAGTTACTCCTTAGATTAGCACTTCTCAACCTGCGGGTCACAACCCCTTTGGAGGTTGCATATCAGATATTTACAATTCATAACAGCAAAATTGCAGTCATGAAGTAGCAACAAAAATAGTTTTATGGTTGGTGGTCTGCGCAGCATGAGAAACTGTTTCAAAGGTCACAGCATTAGAGGGACGAGAACCAGTGCCTTAGATTGGGTGCCACTGGAATGTCAGAATGGTAGCGTGTATTGAAAATG